ACAACAAGGAGAGGGTCCAGAGGAGGCCACTCGCATGATCAGGGGGCAGCAGAGCAGGCCCTACGAGGAGAGGCTACGGGACCTGAACCTGTTCAGCCTCCACAAGAGAAGGCCGAGGGGGGATCTTGTGACCTGTTACAAACTAGTCAGAGGGGACCAGCAGGTACTGGGGAAGTCCCTGTTCCCCCGAGCACAACCAGGAGTGACCAGGAATAACAGTCACAAGCTGGCAGAGGGGAGATTTCGGCTAGATATCAGGAGGTGCGACTTCACGGTCAGGGCGGCTAGGATCTGGAACCAACTTCCAAGCGAAGTGGTGCTGGCTCCGACCCTGGGGGGCTTTAAGAGGAGGTTAGATGAACACCTTGCTGGGGTCGTTTGACCCCAGTACTCTTTCCTGCCAGGGCAGGGGGTCGGACTAGATGATCTACTCAGGTCCCTTCCGACCCTAGAAACTATGAAAGCTATTTGACATTACTTATCTTGATTAATTTGTTCCTATTTTATTTTATTGGATGATCCTGTTTTAAAATGCACAGTCACATTTATGCAGACCGATTTAGCCTGCATTTGCACTGTGGAGAAACTGCTCTGCCATGTTTTAATAGTAAATTAATTTTTTAAACTGGCAAATCTGTGATCTGAAATTGTAAGTAGTGGTGCAGTCGCCCTGCAGGACAGGCGAGATGGAGTTTTCCTGCCGATACGTTTGCATAATAACAGCTGCTCTGCTGGTCTGGATTTTGTGCGTGTGAGGCTGTTGCCTGCAGCTTCCTTCCCTTGGATCTCCTGGCAAAGGAGGGCTTTAATTGTGATTAAGTGATGCCCTAAAATCTTACGTGCGCCAACTCAGGGCTTTTGCAAGGGAAGCTTTTAGTGTGTCTTTGTATTTTAACAATCATAACATTTACGTTGTCAATCAGTGCTAATAGGAGGAGTACATTTCACTCTCCTTTTTCACCTGCCCAGAATACACAGTTACTTGGGAACACAGTGTGGGAGTCCTATTTATCATGTCACTCCTGTGAGCTGCGAAGTGCAGAAGGAAATTATCCCACCCTGGCATCTCCCGGCATTTTCTAGTCCTTCCCCCACAAGAGCAAGCTCGGTGAAAACTTTCCTGCAAGGGGAATCGCTGGGGAACCGGAGGCGCCTGCTCAGCACAGTTGCTGGCCAGGGTGCCATTCCCTGGGACGCGTTACTGCCTGGTTTGCAAGGAGATGCGTAGTTCAGGCGTGACTTTGTAAGGCAACTCCATAGGTGTCTTAAGGCACCCTGCAAAGGGAGGCTTTTCCATTGGGAGCCCTGAAACGGTGGTTAGTCTCTTTCTGTAGTGCAAATTAAGCCCGCCTGTGTCCCCGTGCAAGCCTTTCCCTTTGCAGGCCTGGGGGCTCTGTCACACGCACAAATAAATGCGGGAAGGACTCTCGCGTGGAGCAGAATTGGGAGCACTCGGGGGCAAGGGCTTTAATTAAAGGAGAGGGGGAGGAGGCAGGCACTGGCCAATCCCGGAAGCGTGGAACCAGTGCTGCTTGAATCAAAGTAATGACTTTGCTTAAAATGCAAAATTATTAATGCAAGAAATAGCATGAAATTGACCCTCTGTACCATTTAAAGTAATTGCTATTTCCAGCTCCCTTTTCTTTCTTTCTTCCTCTTCCCTTCCTTTCTTTTTGCCTCAGCTGCACTTTTCGCACAAATGAAACTCTGAAATAGCGACGTTGGGAGCTGAACTGCTTTCAGCCTCGTTATAAGTGTTGTTTATTCTTAGCCATTAAAAATGGGAATATTAATTTTGCCAAATGCTTGTCATTAGAGGGTTTATTAATATAGCCTGTATATACGCATGCACTTGTGCGTGTTCACACGATCGCGTTATGGAGAAGACGGGGGATGTGTCCACTGCTCTTTCTTTTCCTTTGCTTTCCTGGGCCAGTTGCAATGGGTGCAAGCGATTAATTGGTAGCTTCTCCCTATCTGCCTGCGTCCGGATTTGCAATGTCCCCGACGCCGTGGGGTTTCAGTGCTTCCATGTCACCCCCGGCCCATGTCTGACCTGGACACCAGGCTGGCTGCCCAGTGCCTCTGGCAGCCATCAGCTGGCTCGCGCCCTGTGTGCAGCCTTTTTCATTTGCAAGCTAACGGGATCTGATTTGACTGAGGAAATCAAAGTCCTTGACCCTCCAATACTTTTTCTCCCCTGTTGTTCTCGCTTCCTTCGGCTCCTCCTCTGCCAAAGGGTTCAAAGCACAGTCTGTGCCTGGCCTGAATGGTATCTTAAATCACTTCCAGCACTTTTACCGCTGACGTATAGGACCAGGGACTCTCTTCCTTACGCCCTGCTTTTGGCACAGACTTTCACAGCCTCTCACTAAATAAAGTTGGCTTCGCGAAAGCTTGCGCTCTCCCTGTACCTCGATCGTAGTTGGCCTATAAAGGTGCATATCAAGCCTGCCTTCTGACGGACTTCAGGCTAACACCACTAACGGCCTCTCTCTGTCACCAAACCGATCACAGCTGCTTGTCCTCACTGCGGACAGAATATGACGCGTTCCCGGTTGAGGGTCAAGTCAGTTGACTTTGCAATAATTTGTCCTTTTTTTTTTTTTTTATGGACAAGTTTATCTGGGGAGCCAAGCCCTTTGGGAACGCTTAGACCAGAATAGGGACAGTCCCAGGTATTCTCCAAAGAGGGAGATGGACCTGCACGTTACCAAACGGGGAGCTGAGCGCTCCTTGGCCTGCAGAATAAAAGGAGGAAACATCCAGTAGTGACCGACACTGGGCATGGGGGTGCCTGGGGCCTGCGTTCTCCAGGACGGCACGTCTCGTATCCAACTTGAAGGGAGACTGATGAGCGGCTCGGGCTGTCTAGCAAACCAGCGTCAGCCCGTGGGCTCTGGAGGCTGGTGTCCTTGTGCAGCATGTGCCTGCTTTTTCCCTGCTGGCAGAGCCCCTTCCCAGGCACCATCACTTCCCCAAAGTCTTGCAGTCGCAGGCAAGGTTTTGCTGTGAGGCTCCCAAACGAAGGGAGACGAACGGGAATGCCTGCACCAGCTGCGGCAGTGGCTCGTGCAGCCCAGTCCCCTGCGTCTGACAGTGGCCAGGCAGCAGGTGCTTTAGAGGAAAGCATACGTCCTCCATAATGCCCAATTATCTGATAATTAGCCCGTGGGAGAGGTTCTCTCCTACCTCCTGGTAGTTATGGGTTGGCTTAATTCCTGGAGCATGAGATTTTTATATCCCTTATAAATTTTTATCCCATCTAAAGTATAGTAACTGGAATTGGAACTGCTTCAGTTAGTCAAACCTATGCCTATTGCCTAATCCTTTATGGTTCCTGCCCTGTCGGCTCAAAATGAAATCCTCCTGCACTTTTAGATGTACGAAAACCTTCCCTAGTGTCCAGTAGTAACGAATGCTACCCTTTTCTGAACTTTTCCCATTTTGTGGACTTGGGGAAGTCAGGGCTGAGCATGGTTTTGAATGAAGTGTGCCACTTTCCTCTGCATAGGAGGGCATGAGAAAAATGCTGCAATTAATCTCTGCCCCTCAGATAGGGCCAGCGCCCCAGAAAATAGTCTCTGAATGTAGGCGTTACTCAGGTTTCCCCCACTTTCCTCCCAGTACCTCTTTTCCAAGACTCATTCAGGACTCTGATCTCCCTACTGTGCAGCACAAAAAAAAAAAAAAAAGCTTGGATTATTGCAACTCGGTTTCTTGCTTTTTCCTTTTGCAGAGTCGGAAGCATGCAAGCAAAGTGCGTCTTTATTACATGCTGCACCCTGTCGATGGAGGCTGTCCAGCCAAGAAGCTGCGATCAGAAAATGTGAGTGTCTCTCAGAGTACCAATCTATTGCACTGCTTTGTCTGTCTTTGACTGTGCACCAAGGCATTTCACATCTATGACAGCTCTTGATAATCACATGCCCAGAGGTAACATTTGGATTAGCTGAAGTGCTAAGTAACTGGAAATAATTTTCAATAAAGATACAGAAAATATTACATGCATCAGCAACAGTAATTGAATTTTCAGTTCTTTTTAGTAACAGTTTGCAGGAAAGACAAAAAAAAAAAAAAGCATCCTTGCGACACAAATCCAGTATTCACTCAGCCCATTCAGGGAGAGACTGAGCTATGGGAAAGACGTTTGGGTTGTTGGCTGGGAAGCTGCACTGCAAACCATTGGAAGGATAATGGATGCTTGCATTTTCAGTCTCATTCGCTTGGAATCGGGGGTAGTAAAAACCACGCTTTAATTGCAGTGGTTGAAGTTGTGCAGTTGTTGTTGGAAGCCTGGATTGAAGTCGTTGCGAGCCGCAGACATTTGGATGCACAAGTTTCTCACCCAGGGGGGTGGGACATCTGGTCAGGAACAAGTGGCAGCAGAGAGAAGCTGGAGAGAGATTTGTGGAGGAGAGTAACACTTTGAAGGGAGGCGAGGGTGAAGGCAGCATGTAGGCAGTGAGCAGCCTCCGTCCACGGGTGTCCTGCAACGCGAGGTCTGCTCCTCTTGCAGCCCTTTAATACATCGCTTTTGATGTCCTGGCTCTGCTCTGCTTCCGTGACTGCCCCAGCTGCTCTCCTTGCTCCCTGCCTTTACATCTCTCACTGATAGCTCTGTCCTCCTAGTTTAGATCACTTGGCATCAACAATTCAGTCTGGGAGATTTTAATATTCCTGGGAGCCGAGCAGAGAAATCCATGGGCATTACACTGAGGATCCCCCCTACAGCGAAATGAGCCTGTCTTTTGAGCTGTGTCTTGTTCTGGGCTTATCTCTGGGTTTCATACATCACCAGGGCTACTGCCCTGGCCTTGTAATGCAGCAATTTTGTGTCGTGCTCGCCTGCCTTTGCTCGGTGCCAGGAACCTCTCCAGCACAGTCAGCAGCCGCTTCTGCTAACAGCGGCCACAGACTTTCCTCTGTTACATCGGCTGCTAATCTCCTGGACCCTTTGTTGTACTGGCCCCTGGGGCAGTCTCACAGCACCAGCATAACCGGTAATGAAACCAGTGGAAAACCTTCGGGGGTAAGGCACCTTCCTCCTCTTTGGAAATCCCAGCCAGCAGCAACTGAGGGTCCTGGATGTGCATGTAGGAGTTCAGGTCTCTCTCGACACGTTTCTTCTTTGGGTGACATCAGAGGGTTTTGGTCCTGTTTGACATGCATCAACATGCTTGTTTTGGTCTCAGTATTTTCTAAAGGGTGGCGAGGGTGTGAGGGGCAGGGGGTGCAGTTTTGTGGACCTGCCTGCGAATGCAGGTCTAATAAAAGATTTACCCAAAGATGCCTGTCTGCCTGTGTCCTTAGACCAACACGACTACAACCAACACCCCTTTCCATAGATGAGCACTCTAAACAGGAAAGGCCTGGGGCTTTCTGCAGCGTGCTCCAAAAAAGCGAGGGCTGAAAGGAGAAGCAAGATGAGTTTGAGACACCCAGCTACCGGGGCCCAGCACAGCCAAAAACTCAAGTGTTTTACAGTCGCAGCGAACCTGACAGTTGCACCATAGCGAATTGTACGGTTGCAGCAAACCCGACAGTCGCACCACAGTGAATCATACAGTCGCACCATGGTGAATTGTATGGTTGCAGCAAGCCTTGATGGCCAGTCTGCAGCCTCTTGGAAAACTGCTATCATATCTGCCTTACACATTTAATAAACACACCAGCCTAAGGAAACCAGGCCCACAGACATTGGTCCAGAAGTAAAAAAGAGGCTAAATTTGTCAAGTAGCGAGTTCACCCAGAATGAGTCACTCAGGCCTCTCTCTCTGGTCATAGCCCAGCACCAGTTGCATGGGGAAGAGCCCAGGCACGCGGCATCCCAAGCATGTCATGTCTGGGAGTGTGAACATGGCTTAATGTGATCAATATTTAGTAAGATACCCTCTAATTAAAGAGAGACGCATGCAGGCTTCGGAAAGCTCCTTCACGCTGTCATTAAAATGTTAGTGGAAATTTTCCGTTCTATGCAGGGTAATTGCAGCTGCAGTTCTGCCCCAGAAGTGCAGCACCTTACAGTTGTCTTAGCGAGGTATTTAGTCACAGAACGCTAACGACGCAACACGCCGCTATTCAGCAGCAGGCAGTTGCAGCTTTGGGAGGCAGGCAGTCCTATATTGAAGTTCACTACAACTGACAAGTCCTTGTGGTGCCTGACATATACATCTTACCGTGCAGATACGGTGTACAAAGAGCTAAATATAACCTACGTAAGACAAACCTGACCTGCTTTTCATTCCTTTTCCTATTGGGAAGGGATAGGGGAAATGAGAATGATTATGAACTTGCTGACCTTGAGCGTCGTGTTTCCTCGTGTTGAGGCATCCATCTTTACGGAAGAACGGCTACTTGCAAATCAGGTGAATGAGGGAGATATGCAAAAGCTACAACCCGAAAAATCATGGATGCTATAACAACGTAAGAGGGAAAACCTGATCAGAGCATTTGCACCGCAAAGTTTGCAAAGTCAGGTTCCCAGGGAGGAATATGTTTTACCTGTCACTGCTCAGATATTATCCAACCCTTTGTATTCTAGTCTAGCGTAAAGAGAGCTGAGCTATTTGGATCACTTCTTGAAGGCAGCATGATGGCATCATTACCACGTACAGGATGCAGCTGGGTCCCACTCACTTCAGCTTGCTAGTAGTGTTATTCAAGCCATGGCACAGTGGTTTTAATGATATTAAAAATGCAGTTACTTGAGCATGACGTTCTCAGAGGCCAAGTAGACTTCTGCGTAAAAGTGTAGGTAGCTGGAAAGGGTCCCTTTGCCTCCTTGCATAGGAAATGGTACTTTATGCGACCGTATCTTCTACCCCTTGCATGCTTTTAACCAGAAGTGAAATACTTGGTTTTCCTTCCAAGTGATATTAAAGGGAAAAGGTTGTGAGGAAGGAAGGAGTGCTCAGGTTGTATCTATTTGATGAACCGGGCGTCTCAGATTCTACATTATCAACATAATTTTCCATTTGACCTTTAAATAACATGGAAGATAATATTTGCTGTTATACGATGCTTATGAAAACATGCCCTCCTCCTTAAACACCCATTATCCCTGCATTGCATAAAGCCCTGGTTTGACACTACCCAATTATTAGGCAGCTCTTCATTGTTTAAATATTTTGGGTACAATAAATCTCCCAGCTTTGGGAGTGCCGAGTGATTCTTGACCTTTTCCTTCAAATTCGCACTTAACATTTCAGTGAAAAGTAATCTGAGAAGGTCGCGGGCTGTGTTGGCGACCCTTTCAAATTAGCGATCGTGTCCTCGCATCCCAGAAATGGAAATCGGGCTCGGTTAGGTCGGCTCATGACCCATTTTGATGACGATAAGAGGCATTGCCGGCTTTGGGGAAGAGGGGTTGATATGGGGAGAAACCCACTCGCATGCTCTTCCTGCTCCCAGCCATCAGAATAGCCCCAACCTGTAGCTGCTCTGCGGGGAGTGAAAGGGCAGTGGTCGTAAGACAGGACTTGCTTGAGGGGCTGCAAGTAAAACGACACCCACTTACATACTGCACAGACTCCCGTATGCCTTGCAGGAAATGCAACGGAGAGTTAAGCAAAGGAGCTGATGCTGCTGTTCTCTGTGAACGAAGCATAAAGGATGCCGGCTTCTTTCTTCAGAGGCTCGTATTCAGAATTGCTAGATAGGTTATCGGTGAACCGTTTCCCTCCACCATCAGTATTTGGACAGTCCCTTTTCCAGGATGAACGCATGCCAGAAGTGACATGTTTGGTACTTACAGGGCACCTCCATGCATTCATTAACGCGCCCTCGTTACTGCGCGCTAAGTTCGGGACTTGGCTAACTGAGCGGTCGTGCAACGCGCAGTCACCCGCGCTACTGGGCGGTAGCCTAATAACACTCGGCAGTAGCGTGTTAGCAAGACATTTGCCCGGCACGCTCCTGATCAGCGGTATTAGGTTACTGTGCAGTAAGCATCTTGTGCATATGGGCCCATAGGGGAACTAAAGCCAGATGCTTGGATGATCTCCGATACGGGGCAGACTGTACCCGATCACAGGTTTTAACTGAAATGTGCCTCTTGCTTTAAACAAGTTGAAGCAAAGGAATTAGGCCTGGAGAACGTTTAATTTCTTCTTCAGTAGAAATAAAGCAGAGATGTGCGTAGGCGAGGAACTGGTACAGGGTGAAACCACTCTTTGCTTCCTTTCCGTATAGTCCCCGGTGCCTGGTCCTGCCTAGTTCAAACACACACTTGGAAAACCTGTCGTCCCTTCAGCTGCAAGCAAAGGTGGGAATCCAGCCTCTGTGACGAAGAGGAAGTTTATTTCCCTCCTGAATTAGGCGTGGACTGTGGCATTGCTAGACCCAGGAGACATGGCATATTCATTTATTTTGTGGATTGCATCCATTAATGTTGTGTTATTTGTTCCAAGATGCGTTTGTTTCCTACTATATTCCGAGGTGCAAGAATCTTTTCAGTAAGAGATCCATGTCATCTTAAGGCAATGCTCCCTATTTCTCTGTAGCATTAGAAAAGGCGTCCAGACCTCCGACTTTGCTTTTTAGCAGCCAAGCTGTCTTGTGCAAAAATGAACTCGCATTTAAGAGACACTTCTCAGTGCTTTGAGTGTCATGTTTGTTATTGCTGTATTTCCAGGGTTCACAAACCTTTTCTTCCTAGTCAAACCTAGGAAATGAAGACAAGAGACTTGCATCTATGGAAGAAAAATCTGCTTTGCTTTTCCCTAAGCTTGCTTAAGAGACATCTCGCAAAGGACTGCAACAGCACTGGCTTTTGTGCGGATTGTGCCTCTTAGCGACTTGTTAACAAGCATCCGAATAACTCAAGTT